TTTTTTTTTATTTTTTTTCCTATGTTTGTCCCTCTGCCCTGTCTCACTCTCCCATTACAATATCCCTGCTATATACAGTTGTCTTCCAGAAGAGTTACTGAAAAAGTGATACATACAAGTAAAGGGAGAGAGGCCACGAGTTCCAACCATCAGCTCATAAAGTTTTTGGCAATAGGGAGCATAAACTCCACTCAGGGTTGGATTAAGGGAGGGTCTCCTGCAGATCCGCAAGTGTAGGTGAGTCTCCAGGGAATGCAGTTTCAGGAAAGCAGTTCTGGTACGCAGGGATGATTATCAGCTGATGCGGCACAGCAGTCATCTTGTAGTTACCAGGAATGGTGTTGTGGGGATCTGCAGTGTGAGTTGTCCTTGGGTATCTGGCTTCCTTAAGAATGGCAGAGTAGTTCTTGTTTTCTCCTGAGGTAATGCAGGGCTGGTAGCTATTATCTTCTCAAGTTGCAAGTTCTTCAACCTCGTTTTCGGCCTCCGGGACGTCCAGCACGGAGAGGCCAGGGAGGTCAGGCCCCCGGAGGGGGGCCGGCCGTTCCGCGTGGCTGCACAGGGGGCGGCAGCCCCCGGCCGCGGGGCCCCCGGAGGGGGGGCCTCTTGGGATTTTTGGGCACACACACACACACACACACACACACACACACGTGCCCAGCATGATTTTCTTTTAAAGAGAGATTTTTGCTATAGGGTGTATGTGCTCACCGGAGAGACAGAGAGACAGAAAGTGAGAAATCACCCCCTGGGGGAATGGCCATACCACAGTCCCTTCTCCATTCTCCTTGGGATTTGGGGCACACATACATGTTCCTGGCATGGGTTTTAAGTTGGCGGATCTGAGACTCAAACCATGGTCAACTACATGGGTGTCCAGTGACGTAACCATTACGCCATCTGCCGGTCCCAAACTTTTAGTTCTTTTCTATCCTTGTGGAGAGGTTTTCTGGGTCAGCAGGAGATTTTGGTTTTAGTTCTGCCTCCTCGATGGGGTTAGTCTTTCCCAAGGCCTCTTGTGTCCCACTGTACCCCTTCCCTCCGTGTTACCCTGGCCACAATGCCCATCGCCCAAGTCTCCGCTGCCAGAATGGGAGTGTCTGAGGGTGGCCTGGGCTCGACTGCCTGGCTGGCATCTCTGCTGTCAGCGCTGGCATCCCGGCTGGGCAGGAGCCGGTGGAACAGGAGGGAGGAATGACCAGACCCACACTCTGAGAAGCGCCCCTGACTGCTTGGACCCTGAAAAGTAAAGGACCAAGCCTTGGGCACACTCAGGAGGTTAATAAAAACAATAACCATGAAAACAAACTCAAACCGGAAACTAGTTTAGGAGAAGGGGCTTACAGAAAACAAGCACCCAGCCTGGCGGGGCTGACTGGCTGATCACCTGGAGGCCCAGCAGTCGCGACTGGGAGAGGGGAAGGATGCAGGGATGAGGAAGGGTGTGGAAGTGGGGTGTGGGGGAGACTGGGTGCTTTTCTGCCTCTCCTGGGGCTGGGGAAGTTTTCAGTGACTGGCATACTGATCCCCTCCTCTCTGGCTAGCGCAGGTCTTCTAAGGGGCAGGCCCAGGTATGGAGTCCCAGGAAGCCCTAGAACCCCCCCGCCCCCTCCACCCCATGGACCCGGAGCCCCTGTAGGAGAGGAAAGTCAAGCAGAGGTCCAAAGACACAGTCTTCCCCCTGGCTTGGAGCTGAAGGTACTGGGGACCCCAGGGGGCTGGCGTGGAACCAGAGGTTCTCATAGGACTTGGGGCTGGGGGTGAGGCCCTCCAGGAGGGGCTGGGTAGAGTCGCAGCGGAGGTAGCTCCCTGGCCCTGGGCATGTGGGGCTGCCCAGCACCTGCCCATAAAGGACTTGGTCACTGGTATGGGGCTGGGGCTGCAGGGGGAGAGCTGCTCTTGGGTCCCCCTGGAGCACATAGGCCTGGACCAAAGTGGGGAGACCACAGAACTCTGAGCTGTCGCTGGAGTCCCAGGGCCCTGGCTTCTTCTCCTCCTCCTCCAGCACCATGACCTTGGTGATGGGTGGCATGCCAGGGTCCCGCAGGCTGGGCAGCTGGAAGGTCTCCTGGACACAAGGACATCACGTAATGGTGTGGCTCATTTCAGGTGTCTGCCCCAGCCACTTGTCCCTTTCTGAGTTGGGACAGTTGTGGGGACATTCCTATTGCTGTCTGCTAGAACACAGAGGATGGATGACATGTACAAGGCACCTGTATGCATGTGACACGTGCCTGGCACATGTGACATGCTGTTCAGACTCAATAGTGAGGCGACTCAGGCTTTAGGATGGGCAGAGCTGGGATTCAAACTCAGATGTGCTTCACTTCGAAGGTAGGGGATCTTGCTAGAAGTGATGGGAAAGCCCGAGTACTGGTCCCCAGGAGGGTACCCCTTCATCCCAGCACCATCTTCCTCTCCCCGCCAGGGTTCTCACCTCCGCCATGATGGTGGGAACCCAGGAGCCCAGGCTGCTGTGGGCTGGGTCTGGAACACTGGGCCAGAGGGGATTCTTCCTGCTGGAGAAAGGGCAGACGGGGTGGCTCAGGTGCGGGCTCAGCTTTCCAGCCTTTGTCCCACTCGCCTGGTGTGGGAGGAGTTGGATGGAGAGCCTGGACCCCAGACCTGGGCCTGAGGCCTGGGAAGGCTGGAAAGGACTTAGGGGTCCACCTGCTGGGAGTTCCCTGTGGTTGGGACGGCTGGGGGACAGGGCCCTCAGGACTCACCTGGGGCTGCAGCAGACCCAGGCTGTCCCACACAGGCCAATGAGCAAGAGCAGGAAGCCGGACAGGCCCAGGAGGGTGTGGAGCTCAGACTGCTCTGGGAGGGAGGGAAGGCCAGGAGGGGTTACAGTGCGTGAGTGAGTCTGCTGTCCTTCCCCAAGCTGGGCTCCTGGGCCCTGGCGCTCTCCTCCCCCCGGCTGGGCTCCTGGGGGCCGTCCCTGGGGGCACACTCCCCTTACCTAGGGCCAAGGTCATCAGGGTGAGGCCTGTACTGTTGGTGGTCCCGGCCCGGCTGACGGCCATGAGATGGACGTGGTACAAACTGGCAGGCTCCAGGCCATGGAGGACGAAGCCGCTGCTGGAGGCGTTCAGGAGGGTGGCTGGGGGGTGGGAGGCGGTACAGCAGGGC